TAAAATAGTTACAACTTTCAATCAGTTTAACATACTCATGTTCAAGTAAAATAAAAAACTTGGGTATACGAAATATAATGTTTACTAGGTAGACATGAATGTTTTTTCGTTATACCTATAGTACACATTTTATGTGATTCCAGTGATTGTTATTTGTGTTTTATACTGTTTAAATATTTTATTTTTATTTGTTGTTATTGTTATCAGCTATTGTGGAAATAACATAATTTTCTATATTTGAATCAAATACATTACCATGTTTTCAAAGCGACAGTAGTCTTGTACAGACTCGGCATCTTTTTCTTGGACATTGGTGTCAACGGGATGCCTTTGTTGTTAATCTGTGACATTATTTTTGAAAACATGATTGTTTTTCGTTCGGACTGACTTGACGTTCACACAATTGAAGTTTAGTAAAACGGGGAACAATCGACAATTATTATTATTATTGTAATACAGACAATACAGTGGAAAACTTGCCAAATTTACGTTCAAGAGTTGACCACAGTTAAATAATACGTCATGCAACAGTGTAAACTGACAATTGACAATAACATTTACATTTCACATTAAAATTTAATGATTAAAACGCGATTACAGTCCATGTAAATCGATAATATATTATTATAAACAAACTACAATGCACGAAGTACCAACTCGAATCACGAGCAGTGTAATTCATGAAAATTATGAATCATGGACGCAGCCGTGTAGGCCGCAGGCAGGGTCGTCCAAAATATTTTCCAGGCTTCCAGCAGCTGCTGCAGGCTGTTGCGTTGATGCGTCGTGTACAATAATATTATTATGTACGATAGGGTCTCTAAAATAGAAATAAATAGTCATTCGAGTTATTTTCCTCCAAGGCTACGCACTTGGAACGTTGTGATAAACGTTAGTTTGCACAGCATTGGCCTTTGTATAATTGTATCAAACGTTAGATTCGATTTTGTATTTTTGTTCTTTAATATTTATGCAGGCATGCATTATGCTTTAGGTACTTATTTGTCAATTTTTAATATAAAAAAATTAAAACGATGAAACCAGAAACGGGTGAATTTAATATAGGTACGTGTAAATCGTATAATATATTGGTGGAGGATGCATAAACATTATAATAGGAATTAGGATTATAGGACTTAACGAAACAGAGACATAAATAAACAAACAAATTGTCTTGTTTAAAATTCATTCAACATTTAACGCATTCGTGAATAGTTGAAATTCTCGAGAAAAAAACACTTTCAAATACACAGTTAGGTAATACTACTATTACAGCAGTCGTTAGTTGGGTAGTACGATAGCCGTACTGTTTCACTACGTCGTTATTTACATACGTGTGTATGGTTCAAAGGTCGTAGGAAATTGTATTATTGTGTTATCAAACTCATAACATTATAAAGTAATAATGATATAGGATATAGGGAAATCAAAACAGAGAAACTAGAAAAAAATGACAAATAAATAATRCAGTGCCCAATGTTTTGTTGGGTTATAGTGGGTCAATAGAAAATCCTCTTTCATGTGAAACCATTRAAAGAATACCTATTTCTATTGTAGTAGTGTGTTTTATATGGCTGTGAGTGAGTTGCGGCCCGACTTGCCGTTTCCGGTGTTGGAGACCGGTGAATTCCTGCCTGATAATATTTTAGCTTTTAGGTATAGATTAGTTGCGGCCCGACAATATTTTAGTGGTAGGTGAGTTGCAGGCTGCGGCCCGAGAGATTATCATTACCTTACCCATGTACCTTACCTATATAATGTATATGTTAAGGTGAATGACGACATTTGGTGAATGTCACATTCACCGAAATTCCTGGTGAATGTCAATTTCTTCTTAGATGTAGACA